AAAAAAAAAAATTTAATTAAATCCGATAAACCGCACCGGGCGCGGTGATGATGATGAGTCGACGATAATGTTCGTAATCGTTATTAAAATAATACAATATTTTTATCGCGGGCCCGTATATAATCGTTTTAGTGACGCGTTAAACGGCGATATGACATTATATTAACGACCGCGCGGTGGTTGCAGAGGATTGTAAAAGGTACATTTTATGCAGGCGTAGACATATATATTTATTATATATATGGTGACACGAAAACTGTGGAAGGTATACCGAAATCGTGTGTGCCGCCGATCGGTCTACAATCGAATAGGTGTATCTACTGCAGTTACATCTTACACGCACAACCCACACGCCGCCGTGCCAACACCTGTTGCAGTGTCGCGCGTCGATCACGACTTTTTAAACGGTTGACGATCGTCGTTTGTATAAACACAAAATTAATATCGCCTCGTACCGTTCATTGTTATTTATTATATTAGTATAAATCACGCGATAACGTCATCACGAAATGCAACAAGACGACGGTAAGGATTGCAACGCCACAGCCATCACTGATCTGCAGACGACYCGCGAGGATCACAAGCTGCAGTCGTACGACGAAGATGTAGACAAACTGATCGAGTGGTTGAGGGAAATGCCTCATTTGCCGAACATCACCGGTGAGCACGACGCCGCCCGTATAAGCGACAATTTGGTGAAATTACTGCAGGGGAGACCGAGATTTTAATTATCATTACACCTATAAATTATGTACCATATAGAGCCCCACTCGCATTATTATCAATTCCGACAAGACAACACTACTTACAACGTTTTACAAACTAGACAATTTAACCACACAAGTGTACAAAAACAATATTATATCAAGTGACAACTTTTCGACATTTTAAATGTATTTTAAACAGAAATTATCAAGCCGTTAGATTTATTAATAATAATTAGAAGAACTAGGTATAACTTTGTCCCCTTGACCTCCACCCCCCCCCTCCCATCGGATTCCTGCCTACTTATGAATCGACGCCGAATCGATCTTGATGGCCGATGCTTTTGTTCCATTTCCCCGATGACCCTTATGCCAGGCGTCATTTCGTATGTTTTTAAAGGGAATGGAATCATAACCGTCCCTTTTYCAATAAAATCCACTTGCAACTTATTTTGTCTCTGATTTAAGAACAATAATAGCAACTTCTAGATCGTATGGGGTATGGGTATATTAAAATCATTATATCTATTAATTTTGTAAGGGATGTCTGTCCCAATGTATGTGATAAGTTTCATATTCATAATCATCGATAGCTAATATGATTAAGTACATAGTTGTGTGTGACCTAAAATATTCTAAAAAATACAAATGTGCCCATAAAAAATCAAATATAACATTACGAAATGTGATAAAAGAATTCATTATTTACATTATCTGTTCAGAATATACTTTTAATCGATTTTTAATAATTAACTATACGTTTCATTGTGACACTAATAATATTTACCTGATTATACGTACAGTCTACGGACATTTGTGAATCTAATATAAAAAAGTATTTATTTAAATCAAATAAAAATGATTGCTAAAAAAAACATAAGAACAGAATGAATAGACATTCGGCTAAATGCAAATGGCCGATAGATATAACACTGACAATAAAATAACTGAAGTTTTTTTAGCAGGCACGGTAAAAGACCAATACACCAATAACATGACCAGAAGTAAAAAATGAATATTATACTATCCCTCGTTATACTACAATTCATCCTATAAATACAATATTATTTTAATTAACTTTATAGTAATTATAAAGTGTTAATATACAATTTAAAACGAACAACAGTAATGGCATTTTTCGGTCATTGTATAGCAAAAAAGGAACATCGAGAGCTGTTCAAAATTAAAAATATCAAATCACCTAATATTATTTTAAAATTTAATAGGTATAAACTGAATATGAAGAGTGTTTAAAGGTTTAAACAGTTTTTTATCTCAAAGTATGACTTGAATAAATTGAACAAGTTACAGCAATTTAAACTTATGTCTCACCGTGAATCATTGCAATGCCATTATTTAACGAATGTTTATAATTCACATTTTYATAAAGTGTCTCTTAAAATGTATTTTGTGAAATGTGTGATGTGTCTCAAAATAGTATACTGTATTTTTAATTTTATTTTTTATAAATATACCATAAAACATGATTTACTCATTTCTTTCAATTAAAAAAAAATATATATTTAATACACTTAACTATCTCAATAAAAATCAATTTTTTTACGTCTGTAAATATTGTTTGTCGTAGTCCTTTTAGTTTGTCAGCTATTTGACCTATTTAAAGTTGGACATTAGTGCCACACCCGCTAAAAATGTAAAAGTCTTAAACATAGTAACTCTATTAATCAATATAGGCTATGTTTAAT